ACCATGACCACCGCGGTCTTGAGGCTGTTGATGCGAGCGATGACTGGAAGCGTGTGAATGCGGGCCAGAGCGCGATGGCTGGGCTCGGGGTTGACACGACGCGTGCTGGGCAGAGCGCGCATCACCATGACCACCGCGGTCTTGAGGCTGTTGATGCGAGCGATGACTGGAAGCGTGTGAATGCGGGCCAGAGCGCGATGGCTGGATTGGATTACGACACCGTTCCTATTGGTCTTCCACTGTCCCATCATCACTTTCGTGATCATTTTCCCTCCGGCACTCCTCCCATGCGTTTCAGTGGGACTTCATTGCACAGATTTTCTCCAGACTACAGCGGTGCAGCTTCTTCTGTTTTTACTCATTCGTTCCGCCCGCTTCCTCTTGGTCTTTCTAGCTCTCAACGATGGATTTCGTCAACGACTCCTCTTGAACCTGTTTGCCGTGACACTGAACCTCTTGCGTCATCGTGGTCCTCCCATGAATTTCGTCCCGTGTCAGCCGGCGCGTTTGCTGCTGGCTCTGTGACGCACAATGACACATTGTGGCTTGATGCGATTCCTCTACTTCACGACACTCCATTCGAGTTTCGGCCCGCGTCACAACCCTTCCATGCCGGCACGTACAACGCGACCCACGTGCCACCTCTCGACACCACTCCTTACGGCGCCCCAGCGCTGCACCGATTCCGAGATGAGGCGGATGCCGTGTGGCGACCCGCGTTGAATGCCCATGACGCCATCAAACCGTTGGACATTGACACGACCCTGACACCCGACGAAGTTGTGTTTCGTGAGCTTGAGCGGATTGGCTTCAAGGACAACTGGAACCCGTCCACGCGTGTTGTTCGGTCTGCCTCACCGCGTGTATTGGAGCCACTGCCCCAACACCCGAGCACGATTGAATACCGCCCTGAAGAGCCCGCTGCCGCTGCTGGTGCTGATCGTCGTCCGCGGTTCAGCGTTGGTCGAGTGCCCTCGCCGCCACCCGCTGTCGACACGAGACCGCTGCTGCGCCACGCATCGACGCACTCGTTCCGGGATGTGTCGACTCCTGATAGTCGACGTGGCAGCACAACGCCTGTACGAAGTGCGTCGGCGATGGCCGGCACTGCGCCACCGCCGCACACACCGTCGCCCTCACTGCACGCCAGCTTTGCGGAGCGAGACTTCTTCTGGGACTACGCTGGCGCCAACTTTGGGAAGTCGCTCAAGAGCGCACGATCTCGCCCGCTTTCGCGACAACCGTCGAACGTTGGCTTTGCGCCCATGACGGAGGAGCCGCTGTTCGAAGTGTTGCAGCGGTTCCAGTTCAGAGATGACGCCACGCCACAGCGGCAGCGGCAGCGGCAGCAGCAGCGCGAGCGATGGAACACGTCCACACGCGTACCGGAGCCGCAGTACAACACGTCGATCATGTCTGACCAGGCGGAGAGTCCTCGGCCAAGCCGGCGCGCGTCACTTGACATGAGGGTTCGGGAGCAGCAGGAGCACCAGCACCAGCACCGGCGGCGGCAGTGGCGCTACTCGCTGCGCACCGATGATTTGTTTTCGCGGAGCATTGAACCGCTTGACCCGTTGCCCTCGGAGGTGCAGCCTGACCAAGTGTTCTTCGAGCAATTGCGGCGGTCGTCCATGTCCACGCCAACGAAACGGCCCCGCGCACTTCGAAAGACTGCGTCAGATGTGCAATTGCGCCCATTTTCACCGCGCTCGCGACGCGCCACGATTGCCGTGCAGGCACCCATCTCTGAAATGCCAGAGACAGATGACGATCATACACTTGCCGGCGCAGGTGACATGCCGAGGCGCCCTGAGGACAGGGAGCGCCCAAGAACCAGCACGACGCATGGCACTCGCGGTGGCGGCGGTGGTGCAAGGACGCCGATGTGGCGCACGCCTGTGCTTGCGAACACATGGGAGCACGATGCGCAGGAGTCGCTTGAGCGGGTGATTGCGGACCGGCGGCGGGCGCGAATGCAGCGGCGCGAAGAGCTGGAGCGGCGACGACAGAGGCGACGCGAACTGCAGGGGGACGTGCACACAAGTGGTGATGATGGCATCGTTGGCGCCAACGGCCATCGTGACGGTGATGGTGATGGTGATGGTGACGGTGGGGCGTCGCGTAGTCTGGGACGCCAAGCAAAGCCGAAGTTGACGGCAAATGCGCTGGAGCGGTTGGCGAAACTCCGCGATTTGATGGAGCGCCAGCAATTTTAGTAACGCATATGTGTGTGTGTGTGTGTGTGTGTGTGTGTGTGTGTGTTTGTGTGTGTTTGTGTGTGTGTTTGCGTGAGTCATACGTGAGAGGGGTAGAGTGATTGAGTTCATGATTCGGGTTTCTTGATTTGAGCTACATGACTGATATTTTGTTGGGGGTTGCCTGTCCTCGATTGCGTGCATGTGTGTTCATATTGGCTGGGGAGCGAGCTGATGTTTTGCTTCGTGTCACTCTTATTCAACCCTTCTTTGGAGCTGTGTTTATGTCTTACACATGAGTCACAGAAAGCAAGAAAGAGGCAACCACGCAAGGACTGAGGACGAAGAACCTGTGATAGAGCCAGAAACGTGGTCGAGGGGTGCGTTTGACTGCTTGAATGTGTGCTTCGTGACAAAAACGAAAAAAATGGGTGGAGGCATAACGGAAGCGATGGAAGAAGACCAATGAGCGCGCGCAACAGCCGGAAAGAGTGGTGCGAAAAGGGCGATGGATGGAATGAACGCACAGGAGTGCAGCCAAGACACGACACCACCCTGGATGCGTGGTGTGTGTATGTGTGTGTGTGTGCGTGCATGCTGTGAAGGCGAGTTAGGTTGCAATGTAGTCGGCTAGGGTGCCGTAGGTGTCGTCATCGGGCGCCACAGAGAGATAGGACCAGCCAACCTGCATTGTGGTGGGAGGGGTGTGCGTGTTGAGGTGAGGAGATGGGGTGATGGCATTGGCGATGGAGATGTGCACAGGCAGGTACAACTATCAGAAGCATGATTGAGCACTGCTTTCAGCTGCACCACACAGGCAGGCACGCAGACAAGAAGGGACCAAACACGAGGAAAGCGAGGAAGAAATGGGGAGATGGCAACATCGAAGAAGGAGGATGACACTCATCAAAACGAGTACACACACACACACACACACACACACACACACACACACACACACACACACACACACACACACACACACACACACACACACACACACACACACCTGTCCATCGCCATAAACGGTGTCCTCTGGGACTTCGCCGTAGAGGGAGTTGGAGTGGACGCGCGTGTCGTCGTTGAGGAACTCGGCCAACTGCGCGCCAGACTGCACCTCGCCATACATCTCAGCGTACAGCTGGCGTGGTCATCATGGTGGGATTGGAGGAGGGGGAGGGGGGTTGCCGTGTTGTGGTGGTGGGTGTGTGGAGTGTGAAAGAGAGCAAGGGTGGTGTGTGAGGGCAAAGTGTGAGCGGGTGCGTGTGAGTGTAAGTTGTTTTTGGCGTGTGAGTGTGGGTGTGAGTGTGGGTGTGAGCACATGCAACCGGGATCACCAGGCAGCGTACTCACCTCCATGGCCTGTGCTTTCGTCGGTGCCGGCATTGCTTCCTCCATCCCTTCATACGTGTCGTCACCATCCTCATCTATGCACCAACAGCACACGTCAAATCGAGCACACAGTGGACATGCGTGAGGCGGTGCGTGTATGTGTGTATGTATGTGTGAGTGTATGCGTGTGTACGTGTATGCGTGTATGTGTGTGTGTTTGGACAAGGACAATGCTCCTTGTGTCGTTTCGTTGGGAAATGAACAACAGCGAAAGCAGCAATACACACACGCATATACATACACGCATGCGCACACAGGCGCCTACACATGCAAGGAAGCAGAGAATGCGACATGTCACACATGGAGATAGCGTACATTTGAAGACTTCGCGAGCAATGGGGACGGAGAGGGTGTCGGACTTGCTTGACGATGACGCTTCCCCAACAGCCGTGTTGGTTGCCATCGTCTCATACACTGATGGTGGTTATGTGTGTGTGTGTGTGTGTGTGTGTGTGTGTGTGTGTGTGTGTGTGTGTGTGTGTGTGTGTGTGTGTGTGTGTGTGTGTGGGATGGTGAGCAATGTAATGCGTGTAGGTGGGAGGGGGGTGGAGTGCATGTACATCATGCCAAGACGCAGTCAAAGAAACATGCGTTGAGTAGTCATCGCACTTTTCTTCTTCTCCTCCTTCAAACACACAACACACAGCGCACACACACACACACACACACACACACACACACACACCACAAAACACGCACAATACAAGCACATCCCTCTTCCTCTCGTGCATCTGCTGTCACTCTGGGTCCCAATGGGTGAACACGCACTCGCTTCGCCGTAGACGTTGTCCGCGTCCTGCGGCTCGTCGATCTTGGGTGCAGCCTGCAACGCAGCAACACCGCATAGGTGTGCATTCTTTGCTGTTGGGTGGTTGGCCGGCAGTGGCGGAGGCGCAGTCATGGTGCCGCCATCGCGCTTCTTCTGCTCGCACGCACACGCACACATAGATGATATATACGCACGTGAACATGAACACATATATGCAGTGGGTTCAAAGTGAGGGAAGGGGAGAGTGGAAGACGACAGAATAGGAAGGGAGATGAAAAGAAACCAAAACAACAGAGCAAATGAGAAGCATCAAACTCACACAGGACGAGCAACACACACACACACACACACACACACACACACACGCACACACACGCACGCACGCACGCACGCACGCAACACGAACGTCACACGGAAGACGGACCCTGAGGATGTTGAAGACTTGGCCGAGTGTGGCGAGGAGATCATCGGCAAGCGGGCCGCAGTCAAACACGTGGCAGTCTGGCGGCGGCGGTGGTGGTGGTGTGTATGTGTGCGTGAGTGATTGTGGGGATGGTGATGATGATAGGTTTGCACGGACGTGGGTTGAAGAAGATACAGCAATGACGAATGGAGAACAGGCAAGCATTCAAGTCCTGCCGTGAACAAGACATTTCCACACACGTGCATGTGCATATGCACGTGCAAACACAGTACGCAGCAACGACGACGACGACGACGACGACGACGTACAGCGGTTGTCGCGTCGATCCTTTGCAACGTATGTGATGAAGTTGTACGCTTTTCCATCGCCGCCGGCAGCAAAGGAGATCTTGGAGATGGGATCATTGGAGATGATGTCTGGGGTGTCGACGGCGCTTGTGGCAATGCCATCTGTTGACACGTTGAGGCGCAGCAGCATCACCTTCACGTAGGGCGCATCTGCAGGCACAGAGGAAGGGAGGATGGCGGGGAGGGACAAGGAAGGAGCAAGGATTGGAATGGGTAAGGGGAGAAAGGGTCGAGGGGAGCAGGGAGTGACGGAAATGATAAGCAGATCAACGGTCATCACGTGAATCGTCGATGCATCCAAGACCTCAAGGACCTCACACAGGGCATGCCATTGCGCACACACAAACACACACACACATGTAAGTGCGTACCTGCGAGGTACTGCTTCATGAACTTCTTCTTCTTGCGCTTGATTGGCTTGATGACCTTGGATGAGTCGATGCAGCGGTAAATGGCCTCGCTGGAGAACGGCAAGCAGGTGCGGCATGCGGGGTGAGAGGAGGAGAAGACATACAAGAGAAGGGAAAGAGACAACCAGATGCGCCAGTGAAAAAATGAGAGGTGAGGGCAAGAATTCCTCGCGCTGGCGATTGCGGACGCACCGGCAAACGTTGGTCTTGTCCTCCATGCTCAAGGCACGGAGCGACTCCAAGATCTGCAGACTGCCAACATACTAGAGGTGCAAGCAAACACCACCAAAGTGGGAGTGACGAGCGTGTGGACGAGCGCATAAGGGAGTTGATGAAGAGTGGGGGGGATAAAAGGTAACTGGGAACGCCGACACGCAGTGCAGACTCAACATGACACACAACGACAGCAACATGCCACACAATGACAATGACACGCCACACAACGACAGCAACATGACACACAAGACAAGGGCCAGTTCCACCCGGAGATCGGGCATCGCAATCACAACTGCATCCGCCACAACAAATCAAAGCAAAGCAAAACCCCACTGTCTCTCCCCAACCAGACAAGCACACGCGCGTACCTTGACTGGGAACGAGTAGTAGATGCCAGAGCCGTGTGCGAGTGCTTGTTCATCGTGCAACCAACCGCCCTCGGGCGCGGTCATAAAGTTGCCGCGGCGCACAAGCGTCTGCTTCTTCTTGAACATCGTGGTCGGGGTGGTGGTGGTGTGTGTGGTGGTGTGTGGTGGTGTTGTGCTTGTTGTGCTTGGTGTTTGTGGAGCCCCAGCCGAAACAAAACAACGGATACCGACAGCACAAAGTGTAGTAACGCTATGCTGTTGGCACATCTCACACGTCTCACTCACGCATGCCTTACGAGTCACAGTCCCACATGTCTGTGCGCAGTTGACTGAAATGATGGTGGCGGTGCCTCGGTTGACTTACCAACTTTTGTTTGATGAAAGCGAATGAAACAGTCGTTCAAGATGTAGTAACACAATAGAACAATAGAATATACAACCCACAAAGCCCAATAGAAAAAAAAAAACGGTACATGACTCACACTCGGTACATGACAGCGTCATCCGCCATCATGCACTCATGCATGCTGTGCGTCTGCGTGTTTCCCTCCGTCACCTTCCACCTTCCACCTCCTCCTCATCCTCCCCCTCATTATCCTCCTTCTCCTCCTCCTCATCTTCGTCATCGTCATCGTCATCGTCGTCGCCGTCGTTGTTGGCACCGACACCGACACCGTCAGCGGCTCCTCTTCCAGTGTCACGCTCACCTTCACCTTCGCCATCTTCCATCTCCACGTCCCGCCATGACCTGGGCGCCTTGTCTCCGCTCGCCGCCCGCTGTCGGCAGTACTCTTGAAAGTTGCGCTGCTCCAGGGCAGACATGACGGCGTTGAAGGCGTAGATCCGCGCCCGCTGCTCAACCAGCAGTCGTTCCCGCTCAGCCTCATCTGCCAGGGCGTGTGTGCGTGCGAGTGTTGGGTGGGAGGAGGTGGGAGCACAGTACACAAAGGCATACGTTGAAAGTGTTGCATGCAAGCAACACCAGACGCACACACAACAAGGCCCAGCAATCACAGACAGCAACAACAACCCCATCTCCAACACACAACCACAGAGAGAGTGTGTGTGTGCGCGCGCAACACACGTACACACACAGACACGCACAGACACGCACACACACACACGTACACAGACATAGACACACACGCACACCCAGCAATGAACCTTGATGCATCTGGTATTCGCGGGCGGTGCGTTCTGCCTGCTGCTGCGTCCGCTTTGCCTCGCGCTGCCGCTGCTGTGCTATCTGCTTCAGTTTGCGCGTGACATAGACCTGGCTCTGCACGTTGCGCATGGAGGGATACATGAGCACGTCGTATGTACCCTCAACAGGCGTGCCTGCACACACAAATACACGCACACATGCACACACACACATGCACACAAGTGCGGTTGATGCATGCATGTGTGGCAACGTGTTTGGTGAGTGAATGAGTGAGGGAGTGGAGAGATGGATTGGCTCAAAGGAGAAGGACGCAGCGTACAGATAATGTGGTTGCATGCCACGGTTGTGCCATATGAATGAGCAGAGTAGCACAGTGTCTCCCGAATCACGTTCTTTTGACCCTCAAACCACATCATGCCCCCCCCACCCACCCTTCTCCTCCTTTACCTGGCGGGTTTGTGATTGACTTGTCGGGGTCGACTGTGATTGCATCCTTGTGGCCCAATATCAAGTACCGCTTTCGCGCCGGTTTCACCGTCTCTGCTGCAGTTGGCGAAGAAGGGCGAGGTGGGATGCATGATATGGTGTGAGTGCGTGTGAGTGTGAGTGTGAGTGTGTGTGTGAGTGTGTGAGTGTGTTGTTTGTGTGTGTGAGAGAGAGAGAGAGAGAGCAGGGGACGAGGAGAATCGTGCACACACACACACACACATGCAGGAGGGAGACAGCACGTTCGTGCGGTTGCGTCATACCGGTTGAAGTGTGACGAATAGATCTCGCGCGAAACGCTGAAATGTGCGATGGAAGGTGAACAAAGGTTGTCAGGGACGATCCAACACAAAACATAGCACCGAGTCTCCTCAGTTTGCACATAACATAGATCCACGCAGCACACACACACACACATCCACACACACACACACACATCCACACACACACACACACACACACACATCCACACACACACACACCACACATAAACACACACATCGCACACACCACACACACACACACACAACACACAAACGTATACACTGACCTCGCTTGAGTGGAGAGATGTCACCGCGCGTGGGTCCGCTCGCCTGGCGCTGGCTGAGGCGTTTCGGGCGCTTTGTGGCTGGCGGCCGCGGCTGTAGCAGGGACGTGGTGGCATGCACACTCCCTGCACACCCCGCATCCTCGAATACGTCCACGGCAGGTGCAGAGACAGTGTTGGCATGAGTGATGCTGCTCCTGGCTCTCGCGCTCCGCACCCGCATTCCACTGCCCGCACGCGCGCGCGTGCTGCTGTCTGCGTCTGCTGCACTCTCGTCCCCCTCATCATCCTCGTCATCAACATCATCAACATTGTTGTTGGTGAGCGGGTTCCGCTGCGCAGCTGATGGTGCGCTGTGTGCACCTTCTCGTTCCTGGTGCTTCTTGCGACTTTGCTGATACCGCCGACGGTGGTGACGGTGATGGTGGTGATGGTGATGGTGGTGGTGGCGGCGAGCTTCGTCGTGTTCATTTTGCTCTCTGGTGTGAGTTGTGGCTGATGCGAGCTCCCTTCTGGCTGATTTCGGCTGGCCACTGACGGGATAGGTTGCACTTCGATGCATCCGGCACTTCGACAACACCGAGCGCTGATATTGCTGTAGCTGTTGCTGTTGCTGCTGCTGTTGCTGTAGCTGTTGCTGCCGCATCACCTCCTCGATGTCATCATCCTCTGCCGTCGTCTCAAGGCGCCTTGACGTCAAGTGCAGTGCAGAGGCCAGGGGCCGAGGGTGTTGGCGCTGCGGTCTCGCCGGCACGGCGGCTGACCGTGATGTGAGCAACGACTTGGATGTAAATGCCATGGCAGCCGTGGACGACGTCATTGCTACTGCTGTTGTTGTGGCCGGTGTGGGTCTCCAGCGAGTGGTGGCTGCAGTGGAAGAGCTGAGACCCCTTATTCGCGGAGCAATGGAAGGCAAAGACGGGATGGAGGATGCCGCCGCTGCTGCGGATGTTGACACTGATGCGCGGCTGGCATAAGCGACGCATCCCCTCGCAGAGCCGTGCTGAGGCGACATGTGAAAGGTAAACGCCTCTTGGATCTCCATCGCCCGGTCCCTCGCGGCGACAACGTGCACGGGTGTTTCCAAGGCGATCTGATTGTAAGGCGTTGCGTGGTGTGCGTTGTGAACGCAGGGAACGGTTTGGGGCACATCGCATGGCTGCGCAGCTTGCGCAAATCAATCTCTCAACCAGCACTCACTGCACGGCAAATCAAACAAACGCGAACGCACCTTGGTGCTGTGCAGTTGCAGCCCATCATCACCACCACCACCACCACAGCCATATCCGCCCATAGCGACAGTGTTTGTTGCGAAGTCATGCTAAAGGCAAAATTGACTTTAAATCAGAAGGCAATTTTGCCCTTGCTGCAACCGCCCGATATGAACGCTCAGCCAAGCACTGTGCAGCGCACGCTGCAACGTGACTTCAGAGGTGTGTGTGTGTGTGTGTGTGTGTGTGTGTGTGTGTGTGTGTGTGTGTGTGTGTGTGTGTGTGTGTGTGTGTGTGTGTGTGTGTGTGTGTGTGTGTGTGTGTGTGTGTGTGTGTGTGTATGCGATGCTCTCTCTTCGATGCTGTGCTCAGTGTCTGTGTGATTGTGTGTCCAATCTCTCTTCCTCCTCTCTACCTCCAATCTCTCTTCCTCCTCTCTACCTCCAATCTCTCTTCCTCCTCTCTACCTCCCATCTCTCTTCCTCCTCTCTACCTCCCATCTCTCTTCCTCCTCTCTACCTCCCATCTCTCTCTATCTCTCTCTCTCTCTCTGTCTCTCTCTCTCTCTCTTTGGCATCGCCGTTGATGAAACCTCACACCATCGACAATTGCTGGCCACACATACGCAGTCACGTTTGAGGACCTGATTGGTGTTGTGGAGTCGGGGAGCATCTCCTCGGATCAGCTTGCAGAGTTCTCACAGCGGTTCCAGCAGTCTCTCCGCGATGCCACAGCACTCACCACCAGTCCAAACGCAAACGTCTCCGAACAGGAGGTATCGTGTGTTGTAACCCCCCCCCACACACGCTCACATCACACATCATGCCAGTCAAGCGAGCCTGGAGTGTGCCTGACATGTGCTGCGTCTGTTGTGATGGAAGTGGAACGAGGGTGGTTTGTTCAGAGCTTCACTCACATAGTGCTTGCATCCTGTCGGTTCAGGCACAGCGCATCGCTGCCATGTACAGATGTTGGCACTTGTGTGACATCTTCTTCACAAGGTGCGCGCCCTCACCAAGGCTGAATGCCTGAAGCCACTCCCTCCCGCTTGCCATCCACACAGTGCCACTTACTCACGCGTACGTTGAAACACACACACACACGCACACGCACACACGTGCACTCAACAGGGGTGACAGCATCTCGAAGATGGGCGGCTTTGTGCTTGGGGAACTGCTCAAGTGGAGCGCAGAACACTTTGCAGGTTGGACCCTGCTCTATTTGCGCCCATGGCTTGTGTTTGGTGGCGACGTTTGCATGCAATGTCTCCTTGCCATGTGTGCTGTTCATGTGCACACTTCTTTGATGCAGGTGCTCACATTTATGCTCTTGCATGTGTGTGTGTGTGTGTGTGTGTGTGTGTGTGTGTGTGTGTGATTGCGCAGAGGCGGACCGTCACCGCCTTGATCTCGTTCGCTGCAAGTCCAACTTTGACGAACACCCTTCATTCTGGCCAGCGGTGCGTACATGTGTATGCGCTACTTGTGTCTGTCTGTCTGTCTGTATATGTGTGTGCTCTTGTGCCTATGTATGTGTGTGTTTGCATGTGCTCTCTGCCTGTCTGCGAGTGCCTCTGTGCCTGCAGTTCTCCCTTCCATCCTTCCATGCTTCTCTCATTTGACACCGGCCACACTGAACACCAATCGGCGTCCTCATCTTCGCTTCCCTTGCTGCTGCACCATGCTGCGGTGGCCAGGTGGTGCACCTTGTGTGCCAGGGCCGCATGAAGGAGGCGAGCCAGCTGCTGCAGCTCCACTCGCGCTACCCGCGTGACGAGATGGTCACCAACGCGGTCCGCACCGTCGAGGAACTCACCCGTCGTATGCCCGTCTACCACCCAGGTCCACCCCCTTGTGTGTGTGTGTGTGTGTCTGTCTGTCTGTTTGTCTGTCTGTCTGTCTGTTTGTGTGTCTGTCTGTCTGTCTGTCAATGTGTGTGTGTGTGTGTGTGTGTGTGTGTGTGTGTGTCTGTCTGTCTGTCTGTCTGTCTGTCTGTCTGTCTGTCTGCCTGATCCTGTATGTGAATCTGTGGGGCGCAGTCTTTGTGGACCACCTGGTCTCAGCACTGCCATCTCTCCAGCCACCCATTCCTACCACGTCATATTCACATGCCACCGTCCATACTACCGCCGCTGCCATGACAATTGGCGCTTTCTTTCTACATCACCACCACCACCACCACCACCACCACCACCATCACCACCATCATCATCACCACCACCACCACCATCACCACCATCATCATCACCACCACCACCACCACCATCATCATCACCACCACCACCACCACCACCACCACCACCACCACCACCACCACCACCACCACCACCACTATGACTGCGGCTGCCGTCGCGGCCCCCATTCCATTTCCACTCGCGCTCCCATTCAACTCCCACCAGGCACCTCACGCACAGAGTTTATGGGCAAGTGGCAGACATGGCACAAGCACGTGCTCGACAGAACAGCTGACATAACTGTGCGTGCTGCAATACATGTGTGCGTGCATGGCAATGTGTACGTGTTTGTGCGCGTGTGCGGATGTGTCTGGCTGTGTCTGTCTGTGTCTGGCTGTGTCTGTCTGTGTTAATGTGCTTGCATGTGTTCACTTCACCACCGCCACTCCCCTTCCGTTTCCATCACCTCCCCACCTCCACCAGGACCCGCACCTCGCCCTCATCGCACGGCTGTTCAAAGGAGACGACGACGCCTTCCAGACACTCATGTACGACCGCACGCAATGCGCACCCCTTCAACTTGCGCCCGTGTGCTGCCTGTCTCTTCCTTTCCGCTGCTGCTGCTGCTACTCTTGGTGATTCGTCAGTTCAGAGCGCCTTTCACCTCATGCCCCCTCCCTTCCCTCGCCCGTCCAGTGACAAGTATCGGATGCACTGGATGGAGGTGCTGATTGCACGCATCCTCTTCACCGCTCCAACGATTGTCCTCGTCGACATGCACGCACACCTCCAGGTCCAGTGGTTTTGCATGCTCGCATGCGCACACGTGTTCAGTGCCATTTGTGCATGTCCACTCCTCTCGTGTGTACGTCCTCACCATCATCACCATCATCATGACCACCATCACCATCATCATGACCACCATCACCATCATCATGACCACCATGAACATCAGGCTGCAGCGGAGCGGTGCGCGTGGGTGGACGAGTATGATCTCCTCAGCGTCGTCATCAGTGGTGATGCGCACACCGTTCTCGAGCAAGCCAGGTTCGGCATGGTTGATGATTGAAGCGATTGTCTCGATTCGTTGCGGTCGTTCATCGCGTTGTGTTCGGTGGTTGTCTTCATTGTTCCTCTTGTTCCTGCGTTGTGTGTATGCGCGTGTTGATGAAGCATTGCAGTTACAATTACGAGTTGTGCGTGCTCATATTCAGACCTACCTCCACACACACACACACACACACACACACACACACACGCCCTTTCCAGAGATGAGTTTGGGACGTGCATGTTCTCGGTGCACCTACTGATCTTCCTGAGCCAGACAAACTGGCTTGCAGACGGCGCAGAGCAGGACGCAGAGGTGATTGCAGTGGTTGTTTTGCATTAATGATGATGATGCTGACTCGTGCGTTGGTGGTGGTGGTTGTGTGTGTGTATGTGTCTGTCTACCTGTCTGTGAAGTGTTGGACTCGTGACACGTGCGACTCAACACCACCCCCTTCTCGCTGTGTCCACGTGTGCCTGTACACTGCAGTATTATCTGCTGGAGTACGGGCAGGAGTTTATTGATCAGCACAACTGGACCGGCGCAGGCTCGTATCTCTCAAGGTCCGGCACATGTGCATGCAATACTCGCTCGCTCGCTCGCTCGCTTGCTTGCTTGTGTGTGTGTGTGTGTGTGTGTGTGTGTGTGTGTGTGTGTGTGCGTGTTGCCCTCTCACCCCTCACCCCTGCATATGTATGTGTGCGTGTGAGCAGGTGCGGGGAGGAAGGGTTGCGGCGACTCGAGAAGAAGCTGCTCTCCGTCACGATGAGGACAGAGAAGTGCGCAACACAGGTGTGGCGCTGCTGCTTGCAGTATCACCTCAACGCCGCAGGTCAGCAACACACACACACATGGTGATGTGGAGACAGCGTGTGCGTGTGTGAGGGTGAGCACTCAGTGCAAGCTGAAGTCACATCAAGCAGCACTCGCTTCCTCCCTCACACATTCACTCGCTCACCTGCACGCTGCCTGTCGATGCTTGTTTACCGCACCGCGCACACCACGATCCCAACAAACAGCTGCGCAGGTGTGCCGTGTCTTTGGGCAGAAGCTGCAGCGGGAAGGAAAGCCCGTCAGCGCCATCACCTGGTTCATTCGCGGCGGCGCAACAGATGAACTCACGAGGTCGTGGTGATGCTGGTGCTGATCTTGTTCCTTGTGCTGGTGGTGGTGGTGGTGCTGCTGCTGCTCGTGCTGCTGCTCGTGCTCGTGCTCGTGCTCGTGCTGATGGTGATGATCAGCATAATGGACAATGCCATACGTCCACCTGCACCGCCCATCGCATAGGCGCGCGCTAGCTGCCCACAGCTTCATGTACACATGTGTATGTGCGTATGTGTATGCTTACCCTTCTCCACCCCCTCCCCACCGCCAACCACCAACCACCACCCAGGCTGGCTGACGATGTGCTGCTGCGATATGCGCGCACACACGACGCGGCGGAGCTGGCGGTGGCGCAGCAGTTTACACAGGCCGCCGGCAGGTGTCAGCGGCTCCAATTTGCAGGTCGGTACAGACTTGCACACGCACACACACACACACACACACACACACACACACACACACACACACACACACACACACACACACACACACGTCCCGCGCGTCACACTACACGCTGCCGCAGCCAAGTACAAGGACATCTGCGATCATGTGCAAAGCGGAAATTTCGCGCACGCGTCGGGCGCCGTCATTGAAATCCTCACGGAGACCACGCTCGCCCCAAAGTGGTCAGTTGCCGCGCTGGTGGGCGTGGATGTTGCTCTTGGTGGTGGTGGTGGTGGTGGTGGTGGTGGTTATGGGTGTCTTTGTCGGTGGCTGCAACAGCTTGCGTCCTTCCGTGTTTGCTGTGCCGATCGGTGACGAACTTGATCATCACCCTCTTCCCTTGCTTGCTTGCCTACTCGTTCGTGTTGGTTTTTGTCGGTGGTTGTGGTGGTGGCATGTTCAGGTTCTGGGTGCATGTGTTGATTGACATGCTGCCGCTCCTCGAACACGACGACGTCCTCTTCTCCTCCTTTGACGTGCGCACAGTCGTGTTGTGTGTGTGTGTGTGTGTGTGTTGTGTGTGTGTGTGTGTGTGTGTGTGTGTGTGTGTGTGTGTGTGTGTGGGTGGGTGGGTGTGTGTGGGTGGGTGGGTGTGTGTGGGTGTGGGTCATTGTATGTGGGTGGGTGTGTCATTGTATGTGGGTGGGTGTGTCATTGTATGTGTGTGTGTCATATCAATGTGTGTTGCTGTGCACCATGGTTTTGTTTGTCCTTGTGATTGTTGAATTCAATCACTTTCCCAACTTACGCCAACATTCATCGACACACATGCCCTGTGCCTTTGTTGAAACCCAATCGTGCATCACCACCATTATTTGTGCTGCTGTTGCTGCTGTTCAGACGCGGTCGCTGATTCAGTGCCTGGAGGAAGTGGAGCTGTCACACTGCCGCGATGAATACATGCAGACAATCGCACACAAGTACATGAAGCGTTCTCGTGCTCGGTCTGCCGCTTGCCTGCACTCTCCAACTCACGTGAAGCTGTGCAGCCCACTTGTCCATGCAAACACTCTTAACACAAAATACACAACCAAACACACGCACACACATACACGCACACTCACACACATCTCACATGCAACACTTTTGTTCTCTCTTGCTCCTCTGCAGCAATGCTGAGGATGAGGTTGAGAAGATCAGAATGGCGCTGGCACGAAACTTGGCAAGATCACTCCTCGTTCAGGCACCAGCATGACGTGCTGTCGAGTGCACATTATCACACACACACACACAGCAAGCACACACACACAAACAAACAAACAAACACACACACACACACAAACAAACAAACAAACACACACACACACACAAACAAACAAACAAACACACACACAGCAAGCACACACGCACTTTCACACTTTTTCGCACACGTGCATGCAGAGAACACATGGTACTGCGTGCTTCTTGCCTGCAAGCAATTGTACCCGCGTGAATTAGTAAACACGCCACCATGACGACATGTGCACATTGCTTATCAATATCAACGTGTGTTCTTCATACGCTTTATGTCAAGCACTAAAGACCAGAATTGAGTGGACAGCAACCAAGTGCTGCAACCCCTGATATGAAACATTGTGCAAACACAGGACCTGTCCTCCACCTGGCATCACACACGAGAACACCGCAATCACCACGCTGTGCGTCAACCAGGGCACAACATCGCGGTTCAGGTGTCAAGCAGCCTCACTTCCCAACATGGCTATCGCCGTCACCATCATCACCACCACCACCACCGCTGGCTACAGCTTCTACAAGGCTCCCTTGGTCCTGGTCACCACGCTCATCGTCGCCACTTGTGCCTGCGTGCGTGTGCGGCGTTGGTGACGCCAGCTGTCGTCTCAGTTGCGACAAGTCAGACAGCAGCCGCTGCAGGGACCCCAACTTCTTCGTCTCGAGATTCTTTCGGCCTTCGTTGATGAACTGTGGACGTATTGTGGAACGACGAAGGGGATGTGAACGCGCAAGTAAGGCGTGTGTGTGTAAGCGTGTGTGTGTGTGTGTGTGTGTGTGTGTGTGTGTGTGTGTGTGTGTGTGTATGTGTGTGTGTGTGTGTGTGAAACCTGCTGTGGAGTCGGCCATGCCATCTTCAACATCACACACACACATAGACACACATACCATCACAGACGCAAACACACACACACACACCGCCACGGCTGGGCACCTGGTATGCGGTGAGGCTGCTGATGTTGTCCTGGAAGAAGCACTGACAGGAGAAGAGCACGAGTTTGTCTGCATCGCGATCGGCAAATCGAGGTTGCTCCTCCACCTTCACCGTCAGGCAGCGCGTGTTGTTCTTCACCCGCTCGCAGCGGATGCTGCCAAGATCAGCCACAAACCTGCAGCGGTTGTGTGTGTGTGTGTGTGTGTGTGTGTGTGTGTGTGTGTGTGTGTGTGTGTGTGTGTGTGTGTGTGTGTTTACGTGTGTGAACGTGTGTGTACAAGTATGAAAACACGACCACTCACAGCCACGGACCAAGCTCGTTCTCCAGTGCTATTCCACGCACACACACATACACACACATATCGGGCTGCATGCACTCACTTGACGATGCCTTGGGTGAGGTTTCGCATGTCTGGCACGAGCAAGAACAATCGCCACTCATCAACCAGAAGGACGCGGTTCTGCTTGACCGTTTGCCCGTTCTCTTTGAACACACACTCGCACGTGATAATCTCGCCATTGTCTGCCAGCACACACACACACGAGTGCAAGCGTGTGAGTGCGCGCGCGCCTCCTTGTGGTGCTCAACGCATGTGCACAACCCAAGCAAAGAAATGTCATGACACAGACAATCCATCCCAAAGAACAACCGCCACCACCACAATCACTTGCACCACCACCTTCATCACCACTATCGCCATTATCACCACCTCACCAATGGACATTGTTTCTCTGAGCGCGACGGCGTGTGGTGGACGGGCGAGCGGGAGCCGGGTCTCGCTCTCATTCCGCATGTCGAGATGAAGTTTGCGCAGCAGCAGAAATATCTGCAGCGGGCGGCAATGCGGTGTCAAAGACAAGGGGAGACGTGGAGAGAGAGAGAGAGAGAGAGAGAGAGAGAGAGAGAGAGAGAGAGAGAGAGACAGAGACAGAGACAGAGACAGAGACAGAGACAGAGAGGGACAGACACAGACAGACACAGACGCACACACACACACACACACACACACAGAGACACAGACAGACAGACACAGAGTGTGAGAGACACGGCACAGCCCTCTGATAAGAATTGTTTCAACGCATGTACTCACGTTCACACATACACACTGTCGCACATACACACACACACATGCACACGTGTCACACCTGTATGCTCTTGAGTTTGCGTTCCTCCTCTGTGTTTGGAAGTTTCATCTCAAAGGCGACGGCCGGGGAATTGAGGGATTCGGGTCTGCACATAACTGTTGCGCTGTTGAGAAGTTGCGACAGTCGCAGTGGCTGCATCCGCTTTTGTTCGGCTGATGGTTGTGGTGATCGTCGTCGTCGTCGTCGTCGTTGTCGATGTTATGGTGGCGGTGATTGGTGATATGGCGCGTTGAGTGTGAGCTCACGTGTTAGTCGAGGCACGACAAACATGTGGTAGCATACAAACACGCATGCACACATGTGTGACAACAAAACGTTGGCACCATTGGGTGCACTGCCTTGCAGCATACATCACCGACCTTCAAACAGCTCCACAAAGTCCTTCGCTTTGCGCTGTCCCCGCGTGATTTCAACCGTCAGGAAATCCTACAATCCAACACCAAAGCACGACACCACCACCACCAGCAGTAGCACAAGTGTGAATGAAAGGCAGAGGAGGGTGTGTGCGTGTGTGTGTGTGTGTGTGTGTGTGTGTGTGTGTGTGTGTGTGTGTGTGTGTGTGTGTGTGTGTGTTGCTTTTGTTTGTTCGTCTGTCTGTCTGCGCGAACGTGCACATGCGTGGTGGCTAAGCACAAATCATCTCATCATCACATCAACTACGCCTCCTTCCGCTTCGCACCTTGAGCTGCGTTGCGCTTTGAGACAGCGCTTGTGAAATGAGATGGCGGTGGTTGTCGATAATGAAGCACTTCTGGCTCACCCTGGCGTGACACCCCATACAATGACGACAACACGCAACACAAACACGCAACAACAACAAAACCGGACCATGTGTGAGCGTGTGTGCAAGCACAATCGCATGCACGCACTTGAAACTAGAGGCCATGCAACCGCACCTCACCGCAGCAACGCAACAACACAACTACGCAATTACGCAACGCAGCTCAGCACCCACACGTGCATTCAAACCTGCTGTCGCCATCCATCTTCGCCGCTTGCTGCTGGTGCTGCTGGTGCTGCTGCTGGTGCTGCTGCTGGTGCTGCTGCTGCTGCTGTGCATCGGGATCGACGTGACAGGTGACGAGCATATGTATGAGGCGCGCCGCCATCGTTAGCGTGATCAGCCGCACTTTTGCATCCACCCTGCCCATCGCCAAGCACCACCATGAGCAGCAGCATTGTTAGAATGGTGGAGGTGGACAACAGGAGTGAGTTGTGAGGAACAAGCACAACGGCATCGCACAGGCCCGCAATCTAAGGCCACACGAGCACACATGCGGAACTGCCACACACACACACACACATCACACACACACACACATCACACACACATCACATCACATCACACATTACTGTGAGGTCAATTCTTACGTTGCTGCTCGCCGCACAATGCGCACCATCTCACCAACGAGATCCTGGGCAGCAGAAACGAGTTACACACACGCACGCATGCACGCACACACAGATGAGACACTAAGCAACACAGCTGTTGCATATTCGTTTCCATGCACACACAGCACCAACTCACCGAACTGCAGTCCACACTAGGTTTAAGTTTACACACAAACGCATGCACAATCGACCTTGAAAGCCTTCCACACCTGGTTGTAGTCGCCAACGTTGCAGTCGGGTGTTGGCAGGACCAGCCCTTTGGCCTGAAATGCATTTGGAACCAGCCCATTCTGCTGTTGCTCCAGTAATGCCTGCAGGCAACAGAGCGCCGGCAGTGCGGTCCTGTCGTCTGGAATGCACTCGAGGGCTCGAAGCAGCATTTGAAAGCAGCTGTCGCCATAGCCGACATTGGAGGCGCCGTTCTCACTCCCCACGGCTGCATTGTCACTCGCATCACCGCAACCATCATGATCACCATCATCATCGTCATTGCCAACAGGTTTTCCGACATTCAGTGCACCCAGTTGTTCTTCAACCCTCTTCACATCATCGCCACCATCACCATCACCATCACCATCACCATCACCATCATCATCACCATCACCATCACCATCGCTGCGGGTGCGTCCCCTGCGTGTTGTGCCTGGCGACGCGACGGGTGCGCCGGTCTTTGGGTCCGGATGATACCCGCTGCTCCAGCCAGAGAGGAGCGTGCTCATGTCCTCCTTTGGACGGCGAAGAAATCCAACACGAACGGCGCGTGCACGTGCTGGGGATGCTGTCATGGGTGACAGGGGTGGGGTTGATGGTGTGGAGAATGGAGGCGACACTTGCTGCCCGTCTTGCTGCTCGCGTTGTTGATGCTGCCACTGCCACTGCTGCTGTTGCCGCTGTTGCTGTTGCGTTTCGCTGTCCTTCTCAGGCGTATGTGATGATTCTGCTGCTTTCGATGCGTCTGAAAAGAAAACAATAGAGCCATCAGAGAAGACAAGAGTGAGTCATCGCAAGGCCACGTCGTGCAAGTGTGTGTGTGTGTGTGCGTGTGTGTGTATGTGTGTGTGTGCGTGTGTGTGCGTGCGTGTGTGTGTGTGTGTGTGTGTGGTGGTGGGTGTGCGTCTGGGTGCGTGTGTGTATGTATGTGATACACTGTGTGCGTACCTTCGTCGGCGTGATCGCAGTCTGGTATGCCCGTGAGCAGTGTGCACACAATCGCCCTCAACAGCTGGTCAAGCCAACACCGACAACAGCACACACAACGGCGACCACACGTGAGCTTGAAGGCGCTGGACATTTAAGACATGACACAATCACATCGCACATGATGGTCATCGCATGTTCCTCAATACACACACAAACACACACACGCGCACACACACATGCACACACACACTCTCATATACACACACATACACACGCACACGCACACACACATGCACACTCATACACACGCACAGATACACGCACGCACAAAGAGTTTGCACCTCCTTGTCCTGGAAGGTGGAGAGGGCCTGCGCGAGGATGAAGAGCGAAACGCCCGGCGACAGCACCTGTTGAGAGAAGTGGGCATGTGTGCACATGTGCATGTGTGCATGTGTGTGGAAGTGGGTGTGGTTGAGTGATGGGGGGGGTGAGGAAGAAGTGAGGTCTTTGGGCGCCAGGTATTCACACACACTCAAGCACACACACACACACGACACGCGCGCGTACACGATTGTGATGCGCACCTGGTCACCATCGTCGTCATGATCATCACCACCACTGCTGGTGGACTGGTCTTGTTTGCGGCCGTGGCGAGCAGCGAGGCTGCCGACATGGAGGGGGAGGAGGAGATTGGAGAGGGCGCAGCGGCGGACAACAGCGACAACAGCGGGGTGGGCTGTACCCATGACCTCGTCCATGTACTGAAACGCATCGAGGTGCTCGGCCACAAGACTCGCCGCAGCAGCACTGGCGGTGGTGATTGATTGATTGTCGTGGGGAGGAGTGATGGGTGCAGAGAAGTTGGCTTCATTGGTGTGCACAGACACAAAGAAGTTGACACACGCACGCACGCAAACACGTGCACACAAGACAACACACACACGCGCACGCACACACATACACGCACACACACGCATACACGCACACACACGCACACACGCACACACACGCACACACACGCACACACACGCACACACACGCGCACGCACAAACACACACGCACTGTGGACGGACCTGTCATCGCAGGCGATGCATTCGTTGAGACGGAACGAGGTGTTGCCAACGGTCCACATGATGGTGGCGAAATACGGCGGTGCAGCCACAGTCGCCAGCCAGTCCTCCAGCGTCGCCTCCCGCACTGCAGCGCACAGGCGGTGATCGCGGCGGCGGTGGTGATCGCGGTGGTGGTGGTGGTGGTGGTGGTGACGTTATAATTAGTCAATGACGAGATGGTTCAGATGGAACGCAGAGACAGACAGAAGCGACACACCCACACAAGTGCGTGCAAGTATCCTCGTGCACGCACACTTAGAATAACAAACACATGTGTGTGTGCACACACACCTGCACATGTACACCCTGGCATACAGCATGTATGCACGCACACCCATGCTGTTCTGACCTCTGAATGCCATTAGCGTGATGTTCCTGACAGCGATGCGCACCATGGTGTTGTCGTGGTTGTACAGCTTGATGGCCTGCGTGAACAGAGGGAAGTCGCCTCGTTGCTGCACCACAACACGCACGTCACATGCACGTAACACGCGTACGCACCCACACGCACATGCATGCACGCACCCACCCACACACACACACGCGCACACACACACACACACACACACACACATACCCCGACACGAAACACACAAAACGTACGAAACACACGAGACACACATGATACGCACGAGAGACACACATGCATGCGTTAATAGCAGTCGGTGTGACTGGGATGTGACAGCGACAGCATCAAGCAAAGGTGTGCTGCAGCGTGCAAGAGCGCCTTGCGTGGACAACGATGGTCACATACGCACAGACAAAGGCACGTGCACACGTTGCATGCTGCTGACCATGTTGCGGAAGAAGAGGATGGTGTCTGGGCTCAGCTTCAACGCCAGCAGCTTCAACAAGGAAATGTAATATCCAAGCACCTACACACACGCGCACAACCTCCTTTTTCTGTCAACCCGCTCCCAAACAGTGCTTGCAAGCGCGCGCACACACACGCAAACAGCTAGGCTACAGCTAGGCTGCACAAGGGCAAATTGTTTCACCAGCCTTTGCACACACACACGCACACGCACACACACACGCGCGCGCACACACACACGCACACACACACGCGCACACGCATATACACACACAGAGTCGTACCTCCTCGTGATCCAAGTTGATGCTTTGGCACGATATGATGTCGTTGATGTAGTTGCGCGACATGAGATACCCTGCACAGCAAAAACAACGGGAGCGTGTGCATCAGCGCACTGCACACGCGAAATGCACGCAGTCAGAGATCCACCACACACGCACACGTGCAGATGCACACAAACGCACATTTGGACGTTGGCGTTTCCAGAGTCTCCATCCAAATGCCAAGCGTCTGGAACACTTGCATCTGGTGACAAGGGAACAAAAGAAGGCTCGGCCATGAACTGATAGACAAGACAGCGCACTCTCACACACACACATGGCACGTGGCATATTCACAAACATACACAATCCACACGCACACACACACAACACACACAAGCACACACGCACACACACACACGCACACAAACACGCACGCACGCACACACACACACACACACACACACACACACACACACACACACACACACACACACACACACACACACACACACACGCACGCTCGCTCGCTCGCGCATACACACTCGATCTCAGGGTTGGACTCACGTGCACGCGATCGATGGCAGGGTCCATCATGTCGCGGATGATGCCGAGGAGGTCATACTCCATAAAGGTTTCAAAGACCTCTGGATCATGCTTGTCACCCCACACCACAAGCTCCGTGATGTAACGCAGCTCATCCGTCAGCGCCGTGGCGTTTTCCTCGCTCGGGAACCCAAACCCGCGAAGCCGGTCCACGGCTTGTCTATAAGCTCGCAACCACACACGATCCACCAATGAGCCACCACAATACACACCGACACACACACACACACACACACACTGCTGTCACCAAGCATTGGCAAGCCAGCCACCACCACTGCCAACACCAGCCCACATCACCACTCTCCAACTCGCTGGCTCACCTCAAGTTCAAACGTCCTTCCGACATGATTTTCGTTGTAAGATATGCCCAGTTTTCCACAACCGCGCTCAAACCAACGCAAGCGAACGCCTGCAGTTGGGCTGCTGCTGCTGTTGTGCACCCTTCTTCTTGGCTTGCGGTTCCTTGCTGCACCCTTATTGTTGATTGCCACGTGGTGGTTCGTGGTTGCAGTCGTTGTTGTGGGTGAGCACAGCCACAGGCACAGTTATCCACACGCACGCGCATCTAGACATCAACAGGCACGCGCAGACACATAGGCATCCCCCTCTCCCTCCCTCTCTTTTCTTTTTCTTCCTTTTCACATCAGTCAGTCTGCTGCGCGATTGGTGAATGCGATAAGCAACTGTAGGAACGACGGTGACGATGAAAGGCAAGACATCTGTGTCTTCCCGAAGGCTTGGGAGACGGATATTGGACCAAGTAGCACGGCAACGAAGACGGAAGCACTACCTCGATGCCCTTCACGAAAACTGCTCCTTGCAACGCCCAGACATTCCCATGCGTAAGTCGCTGCTTGGCAGTAGTGAGTGAGGCAGTGGTGGCTGTGCGTGTGCGTGTGTCTCTGCGTGTTGCAGTGCAACACGGCTGCCTGTACCACAGCTAGTGATCTCCGGTTCCATTTGCCTCCGTTTTTCGACCACCTTGGCTCTCTTGCCTCTCACGTCGACACCTTTCTCCGTTTGTGGTTGTGTCTTGGGCTTGCAGTGGACAACCCTCCAAAGTCATCGCACACAACAAAGAAGCACAAGCTCTCTGGCCACAGAAGACGGCGCGAGCCATCCTTTGTTAGTGCTGCATCATTGTCGAGAGAGAGAGAGAGAGAAAGAGAGGAGGAGAGAGGAGCACGCGCCAGCTTTGTCTTGGCTTGGTCTTCGCACCCACTTGCGAACGCATACTCGCTCTTCTGTGTCGACCTCACGCTTCTTCCCTTGCCGTTTTGTGGATTGCAGTACCGAGCGCGGCTGAGCCTAAGCACACTGATTGCGGACGAGGTGCGTGACCCGCGTGCTGTATTTGGCCTTGCACAAACCCAGCTCACCCTTCAGCAACCTCCCATGTCCACACTCTCATGCACGCACGGGTGCGTGCGCACACACACACTCACATGCACTCACATACACTCACACACACACGCACACTCACACTCACGTACACACACTCACATACACACACTCACACACGCACACCCACACACACCTCAACATCTCACCCTCTGTGTACGCGTCATGACAGCAAGAGAGGTTACGGGACGAACAGTTGCAGCATGGGGCAGAGTTGAGCCAAGCCGACGAGTTGACAGAGGACGGCAGCCAGCCGCCAAAGCGATCCAAAGCGCAGCAGAAGGCGGCCTCCGCCCCGGGCAGCGCAGCCAAGCGACGCCGACCCGCCAAGAAGGGCCGTCGATCCGCCATCTCATCATCATCCTCCACGTCATCCACAAGTGCAACCACCGCTGGTACTGCCACTACTGCTGCTGCTGGTAGCAAGACGGGGAGCGGGGCACACACGCCAGCCAAGGCGAGCAGTGGCAACAGCAGCAGGAAAGGCAGTCGTACCACCATCACCGCCATCACATCGCCATCTTCATCGTCAACCCCGCGTGGAAAGAGCCGTGACCACGAGCACACTGCACCCCAGGCCCCGCTGCTGTGCGCATATCTGCGCGCACAGGCGCCGCGTGCGCGTGTTCCTCCCCGCCCCATATGCGCTGTGTGCGGGTTCATGGCCAAGTACACGTGCATCGCCTGCGGTGCAAAGTACTGCTCCCTCAAATGCGAGAAGCACCACGTCGCCACAAGGTGCGCTGTGTGTGTGTGTGTGTGTGTGTGTGTGTGTGTGCGTATGTCTGTAGCTGTGCGTGTGTGTGCGTGTGGGCGTGTGTCTTTCTGTTTGTCTGGGTGTGTGTAGCTGTGTATGTGTCTGTCTGTCTGTCTGTCTGTCTGTCTGTCTGTCTGTCTGTCCGTCTGTCTGTGTAGTTGTGTGTGTGTAGCTGTGTTGCGGTGTTCCTATGTGTGTGTCGGCGTGCCCCTGTTGCTTTACGCATCTGCAGTGTACCCATGCAACAGCTCACTGTCCGCCATCAACTCCCCCTTCCCTCTCTTCGGCTCTGCTCTTCAGATGCACGTGAAATCAGCCGGTTCTTTCTAGTTAGACGCAGCTTTATCGCAACCAAACACGCACATGCACACACATGTGCGTGCGTACTTTTTTCGCCTTCCTCTTCTCCTTTGGTTGTAACTAAGCATCTTCACTTTGCTCTCTCCTCGCGTCACCGTTCTCAGTTTAACTCTTCACAAAGCAGCGTTTGTTACGTTAGGATGCATCCTCTGTTTCACCCCACCCCCCCCCCCCTCTCTCTCGCACGCGCATTACATGACGCTCACACACGCAGCGCTCACTGTCCGCCTCCACACCAAATCCCTCACATCTTTCTTCCGTTGTTCTCCTGTCATCACCTCTCAGCCTCTCCTTTGTTCACCCCAACACCTTCCCTGCCCTTCCTCTCCTCTCCTCTCGTCTCCTCTTTTAGTTTGCCCACATGTGCACCACTGCTGCCGGCCAGGCTCGCTGTTCATTAATTGTTGTTCATATGTACACAAACGCGTGCTTTGCATCACATATTGCACTGTACAAACTACGGCATTAAATGCACCATTGCTGCTTGCAAGCAAATGAGCGGAGCGCGCTGAAACCACAATATTAGTGTCCCACTTCTGCCTCGCCTGTTGTCACACTTCACTACCACCCCTACCGCCTGTCTCTACTTACCTTTCCCTTCACCTCCACTGTCCTTAGCTCACCCATCATCACCGAAACTCCGCCCGTCCACCACCACCCGTGCCACGACCACCATTGTCATTGTCCTTGCCATTCTGAACTGTGTCGTCGACAAACCAGAGGCCGCGAGCACGAAAGCGCCTGCGCTTGCTGTCTGGCCCGACAATGAAGTTGTTGTGCACAACAGCTGGTGGCGACGGCTGCTTCTCACGCCACGCCCGGTTGAAGAATAGCGCGCCAGAGGGGAACTTCATATCTGGCAGCACATAAACGCGTAGCTTTGCCCGGTACCTTTGTGTGTGTGTGTGTGTGTGTGTGTGTGTGTGTGTGTGTGTGTGTAGGAATGTTTAACGGGTCACGTGGTAATCGTTGTTCTCCTGTCATCACCTCTCAGCCTCTCCTTTGTTCACCCCAACACCTTTCCTGCCCTTCCTCTCCTCTCCTCTCGTCTCCTCTTTTAGTTTGCCCACATGTGCACCACTGCTGCCGGCCAGGCTCGCTGTTCATTAATTGTGTTCATATGTACACAAAACGCGTGCTTTGCATCACATATTGCACTGTACAAACTACGGCATTAAATGCACCATTGCTGCTTGCAAGCAAATGAGCGGAGCGCGCTGAAACCACAATATTAGTGTCCCACTTCTGCCTCGCCTGTTGTCACACTTCACTACCACCCCTACCGCCTGTCTCTACTTACCTTTCCCTTCACCTCCACTGTCCTTAGCTCACCCATCATCACCGAAACTCCGCCCGTCCACCACCACCCGTGCCACGACCACCATTGTCATTGTCCTTGCCATTCTGAACTGTGTCGTCGACAAACCAGAGGCCGCGAGCACGAAAGCGCCTGCGCTTGCTGTCTGGCCCGACAATGAAGTTGTTGTGCACAACAGCTGGTGGCGACGGCTGCTTCTCACGCCACGCCCGGTTGAAGAATAGCGCGCCAGAGGGGAACTTCATATCTGGCAGCACATAAACGCGTAGCTTTGCCCGGTACCTTTGTGTGTGTGTGTGTGTGTGTGTGTGTGTGTGTGTGTGTGTGTGTGTGTGTGTGTGTGTGTGTGTGTGCGTATGTGTGTGTGTGTGTGTGTGTGTGTGTAGGTGTTGACGCGAGGGCAAATATTAGCACACTGACATGTCAGAAGCATTCATGCACCTTTGCAATTGCGCACTTCTTGCGCACTTACGTACCTGCTTTGGAAGAGGTCGTTGAAGATGTATTGGTTCACAAACTTTCCTTGGGCTTCTTGCAATGCTGTTCGCCAATCGTCCATAAACTGAATCATCCCCGTGCCCGCACGCATAAACATGAACCCCGTGCACAACATGTGCCACGGATCAAACGTCTCATCTGGCAACAAGACAAACAGACAGAGACAGATGCATCGAGAACAGGGGGGGAGAGACAGACAGAAGAAATCGAACGAGTGGGGTGATGTGAGCCATCAGAGCATGTGTGCACGTATGCTGCGATGTATGGCTCGTGTGAGGAGTGATGAACGTCACAAGATAAGAAGATAGCAAGAGCAAGAGCAAAACAACACAAACACGCGACAGGCGTTGACGAATCCTTGCAGGCAAAGCCTTGCCATACACGCGCACGCAACACATACACGCACATACGCACCTTCTTTGTCACTTTGGATGTACATGTCGTAGTCTGGTGGGAAATGCTGAAACGGGTTTTCGAGCCACACCGTGTCAGTGTCTGTGTACAGCACATTGTACCCCATGCGCAGCAGTCGCCCAATATATGTGGGGCGCCGGCTGACAACTGCAAGTACGTGAAGAGGTAAGCAGGTGAGCAGGTGAGCAGGGAGTGTTGCGTGAGCTTGCGTGGCGTTTAACGACAAGCGCAAAGCCGCAGCAGTCAGTCCGTTTCAACCATGACGCGCACACAAACTTACACTCACACGCAAACACACTCACTCAGTCACACACACACACACACACACACACACACACACACACACACACACACACACACACACACACACGCACACAAACACACGCACACAAACACACACACACACACAAACACACAAAAACACACAAACGCACACATACACACACTCTCTCTCACTTTCGTTGTACTGCTTGGAAGCGTAGGAGAAGCCTGTCTTGTCCTTTCCAATCTGCGCATCGGTGTCGCTTGCCTTGACAATGCGAACCGATGACAGCACAGCCTTGCCCGGGTCAATGGCCTCCAGCTGCTCGTAGCACGACAAATCCTCTGCCAGCACCATGTAGTTGGTGATGCCCACGCGCCGGGCGCTTTCCCGCCAATTCAGGAAAAAGTCCATGAACCCGCTGCTGGTGGTGAGCAGAATAATCGTGCCATCACGTGCGTTGCTCTTCACAACGGCTGCAACGGTCGCCTCGTCGCTGAACAGGCGCGGCCCACGCGCAACAGCGCGCTGAACCTCTTCTTCCTCCTCCTCCTCATCATGCTCCTGCTGCTGCTGCTGCTGCTGCTGGCCATGCTGATGTGGTGGCTGCTGTCGAGCGCCCACATTGCCAGGTGGGGGTTGTTGTTGCTGCTGCTCTCGCGGCTGTTCTCGTCGGTCCTCCCGCTCGAACAAGCCACACGAGTCATGGCTCTCACACATGCACACGGCGCCCTGCAGTGAGTCAACACACACCGTCTTCGCAGGGCACTCGATGTTGTGGCACATGGGAATCACCTGCCCTTGCTCATCCACGGCTGGTAAAGCAAACAGTGGCGGCAACTTCACGCGTGACGCGGCACCCGCCACATCACTCCGCTCTGCCCCAACGTAGCTGCCCAGGGCATGCCCATCAGGCTGCAGAAAGAAGAGGGCATTGTCCTGTGCAAACAGTGCAGCGTATGCGGAAAACAGCTGCCACGTGCCTGCAGGCAAGCGTCTGCCCTGCGCATCTTTCCCGCCGCGCAAGCGGCCTGTGTCCAAGAGCCGGTGTGATGCAACATCACCAATCCATTCCGCAAACGCTGGGCGGTGCTTCGACAACAGCAGCAACGCCCCTCTCCCCACATCCGCCGCCAGGACAGCGCTCACAGCACCAGCGTCGGTCTTTTCGCTGCCCGCCCGATGGCTGCTGTCACCGCCTTCCACTTCATCATTGCGAGCGCGTGCGCTGGCAATAGCCGCGGTGGGCAGGAGCACAACGCCTCCAAGGTTGGGCAACGAGGCAACTGGGTACTGCTGCAGTACGGACTGCAGCCACACGTGGTACACATGCGAGGGCTGGAAGCCGGCTTCCACCATGAGGACGTGTGCTGGGGCACCGCCTGGGGTGTGTGGGTGAGGTGCTGCCCACACCTGCTTGACGAGCGACTGCGTGGCGAGCGAGTGTTCCAGGACACTGCTGGTGCTGATGCTGTGGGTGGTGTGCATGTGCTGCACCGTTCGCCGCCCATACGGCCACTGCCAGCCATCGGCCACCTGCAGCACGTCCCGGCACGCTGACGACGCGAGGGGCGACAGCGATGAGTCAGCGGCATCATTGTCCTCCTCAGCGTCATCGGGTGTGGTGGTGATGACAATCTCAAGGTACACGGGCGGGTTGCGATACAGCTGTGTGTCGGCACCAGCTGCATTCGCGGCGTGTGGGCTCGACAGCGCTTTCTCCGCTGCCGCCAAGTGCGCGAGAGTGCGTGCGAGACGCTCGCCTGGGTGTGAGCAAGGTGCCAACACACGCACGAGCAACGCCGGCGATCCGCGGCCTTGGTGGCAAGCTGGGTCATCCGGGGAACAGCAGACAAAGCCATTGTCGTGGTCAATGCACAGGCGGCCGTGTGCACACGGTGACGAAGCACACACGGGCACGACTGCATTGTCCCAGTTAAGATAGTGGAAGGCATCTGGGAAGAGCGTGCTGTGCTTCCATGACGACGGCGACGAAACTTGGAACGGCTCACTGCGAAAGTGCTTGTGCTGTTGCTGCCGTGCTGCTGCCAACCCAAACGCCTGGCTGGCTCGTGTACGTGCATCGGCAGCACCGCTACGGTGCCATGCATCCTGCTGAAGTGTCATGAGATGCAGCTGGGCCGGCAAGTAGTACGAGTACAGCTGCTCTTGGAGGCAATATGCAGCCAGCCACACTGCCCAAGATCGAGGCAGCGTCACTTCCTCGCCCTCCGGGGCGCGATGGCCCCGCTGCCGCCATGCCGATGCCACTTGTGGAAAGAAGATCCCCCACACACCTTCTTTCTGCTGCTGCTGCTGCTGCTGCTGCTGCTGCTGCTGCTGTTCTTGTTGCTGGGTCTTGGATGACAGAAAGCCAAGGAGCTCAGCAGCAGTCTGTAGGCGCTGGTGTAAGGCGCGAAGGCTTTCCTGCTGCGGACGCCGGCTCGCCCAGCGCAGAAACGACCGCCACACGTGCGGCACAGGCACGTATGCGCCCGCGCCAGGGTGCATGTGCATGAAAGGCTGGGAATATGGCACGATGTTTTGCGTGTGTTGCTGCAACATGGTGGCGGGCGCAAGCGCAGCACCTGCCACGCCTCGTCGGCCCTGCAGCTCGTCACTGACAACAAACGCCCAGTCGGCAAACGCGCATGTCAAGCCCGAAATCTCCCCAATGTCCAGCAGCACCGTTGCTGCAGTCGTTGTATTGGTGCTGCCGGCGCCGTTGCTGTTGGATTGCGCATGCGCCCCGCCCGACCTGGATCGTGGGTCATGTGTGTCTTCGTCGCGTCCGCTGCTGCCATCAGCAGCACGAGTGTTTGTTGGGTGCACGTGAGCCCATGGAAACAAGTCCTTGTCACCGCGATCCGAGGGTGTTGGCACGACCAAGTCGAAAGCGCCCTTGTTCTTCCACGCGCTGGCGATGTGCTTGCGCGTGAACGTCAGTTCCGTGCCTTGCAGCTCTGATGTGGGCGCCACCACCGTGAGTCTCACATCCATATCGGCGAATGCGCACTGTGAGAGCTGGGACACGGACGCAAAGGCATCCTTCTCCCACTGCGGCAGCCGGCCAAAGTCGTGATGGTCTGTCGGGACGAGGAAGAGGTTTAGGGTTCGGCCGCTCGATTGCCGTTGCTCACGGTTATGTGACCACGCTGACGATGGCGGTGACGGCGAGTTGGAGTTGGCGTTGCTCGGACTCGCATGCACGTTGGCAGCAGGTATGCCCCCAAGGGGAGGGGCAGCTTGAAAAGCGTGGTCATCTCGCTTCCTCGCAGGATCACGGACATGCGGGGCGTGCTTGACCGTGGACGCCAGGCCCTCGTCGTCTGCAGTTGCGATGTGTGTGTGTGTGTGTGTGTGCATGCATGTGTGTGAGCGTGTGAGCGTGTGAGTGTGTGCGTGCATGTGCGTGTGTGCGTGTATGCGTGTGTGTATGCGCGTGTGTGTATGTATGTGTGTGCATGTGTGTGTGCGCATGTGTGTGTACATGCGTGTGTGATGCGGTCACTGGCGATGATGTGCTTGCATGCAAGCACCAGTAATGCACGAAATAAACCATGGACGCGGGATCATGGGTACCAGCTGGAACGCCTGTTGCACGCCACCGTCGCGCTCAACTGACTCACAGCCAAAGACCGTCTCTTGGCCTTCCACTCTCTCTCGCTCTCCATTGACGATCTTCGGCGCTCTGCATGCTCTAGACTCCACAGGCAGTCTTTTACTCTTGTACCTGCAGTGCGAAGGTGGTACGTGCCGTAGATGAAGACTGCCGCTGCCACGAGCAGCCAGAGGTACACTGAGTCCCCTTGAGAGGAGCAACATGATGAGATACAATCGCAGAAAGATTGGGTGAGTGGTGAGGCCGCTGCCGATGGTTGGAGCGATGTGCAGTTCACACGCTGGTTGCATGCAGGCACGAGATGCTGGTGTGTGTGTGTGTGTGTGTGTGTTTGTGTGGGCTTTTGAGTCGCCACACGAGGGCAGCAAATGCAGCAGACGCATACATACGAAAGGCAGGGTGTGGTCAGCTGTACTCACGTCGTCTTCGACGCCAGAGCCACAGCATGACAACAGCGGCGTAGGTTGATGGCTCGATGCAGGCGAGGGGCTTGTGGAAGTCGAGCCAGGTGCGAGCAGGAAGGGAAACGGAAACGGAAACAGAAACGGAAACGCAGTGCGCCAAAGCAGTTGGGAAATTTGTTAAAGATACCAGATACATTTCTTCAACTGAGTCCACCTCAACACAACAACCAACAACGAACAACAAAGGCGATGGCGGACGAGGAGGTGGTAGTGAAACAAGCTGCAGAGCAGCAGCAACAAGGGGAAGAAGATGAAGTGGAGGAGTTGAAAGGGTTTGACGGCCTGGATTCCGACGAGGAGCACTTTCAAGAGGTGTGTGTCTTGTTGGGTGTGGGTGTGTGTGTGTGTGGGTGTGGTGTGTGGGTGGGTGTGTGGATGTGAATGGGTTGTGTGATGTTAAATTACATTGTTATATGGCCGCCTGCACTTTTTGTTTGTGGTTGTTCTTGCGTGGCTCGCCTGCACTTACATGTGCGTGTGTGTGTGCACTGCCACGCATCCAGTTTGTTTCGCCGTGCCACTCCAACTCATGCACCCCGAATCCCACCCTCCCCCTCGCTTTTCTAATTTCGAACACCTTTTGTGCGCATTTGGAGAGCAGCAAGAGGAGCCGTTGGAATCGGAGGCGCCCATCGACACACGCATTTTCAAAATGGGGTGGCTGAAGAAGAAAGGCGGGGGCAAGGTCCAGCGTGGCAGACACCAAGGCAGCCTGTTTGCACGCAAGAACTGGAAGTCGAGGTATGTGCGCGTGTGCTGCAATGCGCATTCGTGTATCTGCGCATTTGTGCGTCTCGTGTGATCCAGCGTGTGTATGTGGTTTTGCGAGCAATGCGTCACTGTGCGAGCAGTGCGCCTGTGTTGACTGGCTTGAACCTCTGTTCTCACTGCTCACTCAAACGCACGCATATATACACAATCATCATGTAGGTGGTTTGTATTGCGGGACACCGTGCTCAAGTACTATCCTTTCCAAACCATCACAGGCAAAGGTACGCCATGACCCTCTAACCTTTGTTGTTGGACAAACGCGAGCATGTCGCCTTGGCGAAGGCTGTGTGATTCCATGAACAAGGAATAGATGCCATTCACTCCCATGCTCCCCCACTGAGTCGAGCCTCTCGTGCACCTCCTCTCCCACTGTTGTTTTCTGCCTTTCTCTTCATTCACACACACATACACATACACATACACATACACATGCATACACATACACATACACACACATTCTCTCTCTCTCTCTCTCTCTCTCTCTCTCTCTTGCTCCCTCGCTCACTCACACACACACGCCTTGTCATGTGCGCACCAACAGAGAAAGCGATTGGATGGGTGAACATTCGGGAGGGCGTCAGCGTGGACTGGGATGCGGCGGAACCAACCCGGTTTTCGCTGACAACAGACGAGCGCGTGTACTCGTTTGTGGCGCCCACGCCCGAGGCGGCCTCGGAATGGGTGCAGCAGCTCACCCGCAGCATCAACCGCGCTGAGCTGGAAACTTAAACACACAGATGCACAATTTGCATTCAGGGACAGGGACAGAGAGCGAGGCAGAGTACATGTCGGGAGTGTGCGCGTGTGGGAGAAAGAGAGAGGGGGGGAGAGAGGGGGGAGGGGGAGGGGAGAGAGAGATGGGAAGAAAACAAGGCAACCGAGACACACATGCACACACACACACACGACACACATGCACTTCTCATGATTTGCGCTCATTCCTGGAAGCGGCATCAACCCCCGCCGCCTTGGTTTTAGCAGCATTGCCACCTCGCTGTTTTATTCATGGCATCATGCCATCCCCCTATTTGCTTTTGTTGTTCCCATCAGCCATCGTGTCGAAACAAGAGTGAACAGTGTGAATGTATTCAGAACACACACACATACACGCACATCTCCAACCGCCAAGCCTTGTGTGCCACATGACTTGCCTCGCCGCCCTTCCTACACCCACACTTTGTGCTCATCCCACACTTTTGCTCCTACATACGCACACTTGCAGAGTTCTGTAAACGCAATGCCATACCACACACACATGTACTGACACGGGGAAAACGCGAGGGCAGGCGTGATGGATGGATGATGTGCCTGGCTGGGAGGACAAGGTCTCCCCAAGGCTAACGACAAAGCAAAGCAGCACAGAATCCAATCCACACGACATAACAGCCACGCCACCGCACACGTACAGGCACGTGCACGAAACAACGAAAACACGACAAAACCGCCCAAGGGGGGGGGGAATGTACTGTGACAAACAATACTGGGGCAGGCAAGGTAAGAAACAATGTGTGTACGCGCACATGTGAATTGTGAGAGTGTGTGTGTGAGAGTGAGAGAGTTGTGAGGAAGTTGTGAGAGAGCGAGACAAACAGAGAAACAGAGGACCATGTGTGTTGGGAGGGGAGCAACACAATGGGTGCGCTTCGTGTGGGTGGGGCTCAGAGCTCGTCGTGGCCAGTGCCCTCGGTGTAGTCCTCGTACTCGGGCTCCTCGCCGTAGTCGTAGCCGCCCTCGCCGGCTGCAGCCTCGTCCTCCGCAGTCACCTCCACACTCGCGGCGGCGTTGTCGTTGACAAAGGCAACAAGCTCCTTGAGCGTGCGCCCGCCCTCGTAGTCGACGGCCTCCTGCGAGTCTGCAGGGAACAGCTTCAGCGTGGGGAAGCTCTCCACAACAATGTCTGCCAGCTCGTTGGCGGTGGCGTCCAGCTTGGCAATCACAACGTTGTCCACGCCCTCAAACTTCTCGCCAAGCTTGTCCCAGATGGGAGCAAGCTGCTTGCAGTGGCCGCACCACGGCGCATCTGCACAAGCACAGGGAAGAGGGTGTGAAGGAAAAGTGTGAGAGCGTGTGTATGAGTGCATGAGTGTGTGCATGTGCGTGAAGGAAGAGTGCGTGAAGGAAGAGTGCGTGAGTGCGTGTGTGCATGTGCGTGTGTGCGTGTGAGTGAGTGAGTGAGTGTGTGTGTGTGTGTGGTTAGGC